AACATCGACCAGACTACACAGCGCAACAACCCAGAAGACAGAATCTTCATACTCTGATGACGGAGGCAGTATGACCTCTGAAACGTTGGTAAACATCGACCAGACTACACAGCGCAACAACACAGAAGACAGAAATCTTCATACTCACCGCTGTGAAAACCTCAAATCTTACAACGTAAAGAGCTGTGTTTTCTTCGCGGTACGAACTGAATTCTTATATATCATTTAAATGAACTTCGGCTTCTAAGGGTTAATAAGCTGTTATGAACGAAAAATTAACCAGAATCGCAAAGAAAGCAGAGTGCGTCTCCATTAGAAAGGTCAATTGGTTAATTATGTGTAGGGGAATAACGTTGTATCCTAAGGATTACACGAAATCCATACAAAAAATTTATACGCAAAATGTGAAGCTGCCGGTTGTTAAAGTGGGCGGTGCATATAATTAAGCAATGAGCTTTAAAGGGTTGGTCGGAAAGACACATTAAAATAGATACAGCGAATAATTCGTATGAATTGCATCTTACAGGCTTACCACTACGAAGACTGCAGACGTGAACTTACCTGCAAAGAAAAGAAATAATAAAATATTATCTACATTTTTAAAATTAATTGTCGTTACTTAAGCGTATTCTAATATGTGATTTATGAAATGACAGAACGAATGTGCTTAAGACCCGTAGGCTAAGCTTAAGGAAAAACACGTTAAAAATATTAATATTTATTAACGCTGAAATATTTTAATCTAGTTCAAGCTTCTCATTAAGGTTCCGCCATCAATAAAATAATCATGACTTAATAATATTTATTACCACGGTATAGATGAGATATTTTCTAAACATGTCGAAATGCCAGCTCGCATTCAGTTGTGCTCTCATAATTTTAACTGAACGTTACTGAGCACGTAAAAGTGTCCGCAAGCTATTACGGACAACACCAAGAGAGTTATAACACAAATACCAGGCGCTCCACATGACAGAAACCACAGTAAACATTATTATTAAAACAATTATTCTCGCTAGAAGTGTGGTGACAAGAGGACAGCTTTTGATGTCGGTTCCACAACCACATTCTCTCATTACAATCAAATTTGAATTCAAACATATTAGTTCTGTCACATGAAAAATACTGACTGGCTGTTAAATACAGTGTATTCTTTTTAGAGACGGCACTCAGGCGGACGAGCGGACGCCCCACTAGTCAAGACGGGCCGGGCCGACTCGTATGGTAGAAGTTTGGTTCTCGGTTGCGTTGGCTAGAAAACTCTCTGTTGCGCAGGACAGAAATGAGTGACGAGATCCTGTGTATCCTTCCATAAAAAGCGGGGAATTTTCTCAGCATGCTGAGTGATTAATGTCTCTGCTAAACGATAAAAAATATATCCTGTAAAGCAGGGGTTCTAAACCTTTTTCGCTGGCGTACCACTAATTTTAATTTAACACATTAAATGTACCACTAACGAAATGCGTTCAGGGAAAACTGTTATTTACGTTCATATTAACTCTTGATTTTCTTACTTATTTCGAATACCACTCAACATTGGCTCGCGTACCATAGGTTGAGAAACGCTGCTGTAAAACGTTTGGCTCTCAGTACCAGTAAAAAGTAAAAGCACGATAAACTGGAAAAAATTAATTAATGAGGAACTTCACAGTCTGTACAGAGTATTATGAGACGACCAGACATGTAACCTACACCAAGAAATACATTAACAATTTTGATTCTACAACCTGAAATGGAACGACTATTATAGTATTTAAGTACATTTTTGAGAGTCTTGGACTGAAAGCGTGAAATTAAATATTGTATAATGATGTACTTTTGTGGAAAGTTCGGAGCAGCTAGGGTATTTCTTGTTTTGATGAAGCAAGACTTTAATTCATTCGTAGAATTACAGATATTACAGATATCAGGGTAGAAGTTGATGATGCCTGCGTCATTAACGGTTCTCTCTACAAGTGCAAGGCAGGAGGTACGATGCTACTGTCGCCATATTAAGATAAGGTCTGAACATTTGTTGTTCTTATTACGGCGGAACGAACAGGCAGACGCTGAGTGTTTCTGTGTCTAATCAAGGAACGGAAATGTAGGGGTCCGGAACATATGAAACCACAGTTTAAGCGGCAGCCAGCCAGCCACCCTGGGAACTAATAGAACGTACGTCATTGTCCACATCCGCCAGTAAATCTTTGAAAAAAGAACAGATGGAGCTGCCACAATTTCCATGTCCATTAAAGTCACAAGGTCGGAGGTTAATTTCAGAAAAGCTCCCTCGTGGCCAAACCTTGAGGGGAAAAAAAACGACGTGTGATAAAACCGACATCCTACTCCCGTCGTTTGAGCCGTCTGAATTGTGACATGAGGAAAAACATCATCAGTATTATTCACTAGATCAAGACCTGTCTCTTTTCCTTAGTCTTTCTTTATATTTTTGTCATCACTCTACTTTTTCCTTTCTCATTTTTTTTTTCCTTTTTTATTCCTCCTTTCCTCATCTTGAGTCGCGAAGCATCATCTTCAGACAGTCAACCTGCTCAGACGTAGATACACCGTACATCACGATTCATGGTATGTTATTGTGTTCTTACTTTTACAAATATAGAACAATATTCCAAACTTATTTACATATAAATAAATAACTCATATGTTTATAAATTTATTCACAGAATAATGAAAAACAAACATAAGATACATAAAATAAGAAGATCAACAGAGCACATACTATAATAATGTACAAAACGGATGAATAAATTGAAAGACTTGCATTGTAATATAAAGTAGTTTTAAAGGAAAAACCTGAAGATGATGCTTTGCATTGAAACATGTAGTAAATGAAGGCGCAGTATTGTAACATCGTTGTAACGATGAACAGCGCAAATTTTAAATTTTAACATCTGTAAATAAAGTTTGTGTATAGACCTGAATTATATTATATATTTTGATTATAAATAATTATTTTTTATCCTATACGTTAAATATTGCTTCTTTTTCTTTCAAGTGCCAGTTTCCACAAAAAAATTATTATTCTGAACACTCTTGTACATGTCAAAACATACGCAGAGATACATAAAAATGTATGTGGCAAATTTTTTTTTCCTAAATACCTAAACCGATTTCATACCGCGGCGTGCCCCATAGCAAAAACAGAATCTGTTGATTCACTGATATTTCACGTCATTAATACTCAACTAGTTCTGACATCAAGCTGCAAACAAAACGCTGTGAAACGAGAAGTACAGGAAACGGTGATGTGCTGTAATTGGCAGAAACTGAAGCTCAGAATTAACTTCCAACAACCGCACGTCACGAATGAAGGTAACTTCAACTGTGCCAGCCACACTCACGATGAACAAATATTAATGAAGGTAGCAAATGACGAGGCATGAACAATGCATTGGACATTTGATTTCAATCCGTTATATAATAAGGCGAATGGAAACAGAGTGGAGAGAGTATGAAAATTATAGCACAAACAGATCAAGACTGAATTTAAGAATTAATAATGAGAAAGAAGAGTGTGCTTGATTGACGCTTCACAGCCAAAGCCTGTCTAAATAACATTAATTAATACGAGTAATTTAGTCCGTACCTCAAAGAAAACAAAGCTCTTGACCATTACAAAGATTAACTGGTTAATGCTGTTTACAGACAGAATAATACGAATCCTATCAATACAAAAGGGACTGATTGTTAGAGCAGGTGAGGATATATGGCTGCCATCGGGGTTTGAAGGGTCAACTAACATATTTCACATCTCATCATGTTACAAAATATAACAGGGTTATCAATGCGGGATTCTGTGAACAATCACGTGCCGTAAGAGGCAGTAAAGGTCTCGAGTAGATAAGACTATAAGCTTCCCAAGAATGACAACTTAATTAAGTCATTTATCGCTAAATTCACGATACAATTAAAGCATCTGAAAGAAAGCTAAGATCATAATTTTATAAACAGAAGCGTCTGCAGACTGTTCAACGTATCGTAAACATCCAATTAAAAATACATACTTTAAATCCGTCCTTTGCCACGACTTTATAAAAGCTTATACGTCATTATCAGACACACAGAACACTCACTGCGACCGTAGACTATTCATTAAGTTTATTATTCTGAAGGGACAGAAATGCGTTTGATGTTTTTCAAGCGAAGTCTATCAGTAATACGACTCACTTGTCGATGCAACGGGGTGGAGATCGAGAATATATTTAATTCCTGTGACTGAACAGAACCGCGGCCCACAGTAAATACCAGCAGCGTCTTATAAGTTGGAAGCATTCGAAGGAAAATGCCATTATACTTCATACATAATAAAAATAGATTTCAAACGAAGTGAAAGGAGACAGAAAATCCATTCAGTGTCTAAATGCAGTCATTAAAAGAGAGGTAGAAGAAAAGGGAATATATAGCTAAATTACGAAACATTAATATTGTTTTAAATCTACACAATATATAATTATGAGCTGCATTATTATGTGGCTACACTTTTTGACATGTATGTGTCATCTTCATTGAACTCTTCGAAATTCTGCCAAATTTCTTCCAGTTACTTTGATTTATATGGTGAAGAAATCATGAAACACAAAGAACGTTAATGACTACACATTCTAATAGCCCATTCTGTACTATTGACTCTGAAAGAAGCGCTGGATATGGAGTAAATTACGTGACCTTGAAGCACGCAATTTTATGACGGCTAAAAAGGTGAGACGTTATTCACACCAAGTTATAATAAATCTCGAAAAATTTTCAAAATGTATTGGGGGACAGACCACAAGACTACCTTTTCTAATAAGAAAAGTTCATAAAACTAACTCACATTCAGTTAATGTATTCGTATTAAGCGACTCTTAATACCTCGCAAAATATATGGGATATATGTTATCTGGCACGCATGACGTTCATTACCAGTTTAAATACCCATCATAACAATACGATGAAACACAGAATGATGAAGAAAAACGAGGGGGAACTGCAGGCAACTGAATTTACAAATATTATTTTAATATTATTTATTTAAATGGCACAGCTCTCCCCTACTGAAATTTTGTCTAGATGTTAAACCGCGACATACCAAATGTGTCCACGAGAAAAAATATAAAAAATTCCAGTTCCCTTAAGCACGATTATATTTTTTGGACCACCCATATAATAACCAGATGTGTACTATGTGGAACAATGTTCAGTCTGCTTCTGCATACATTTCCATATAAAGTAATCTATTTCGAAATTAAAATAATAATTTCAGGACAAATCTGGCAAAGAAGAGTTCTTTCATTTATATATGCATCGAAAACATGACAAATACACGCTAGTAAATTACAGAATTATAACCAAAATACATATTTAATACTACTAATATGCATCTTGTTATTATTCATTTCAAAATCTATTTATCATCTCGTCACTCTTTAAATATATTTTAAAAGACAGGATTGTATCCAGGGTATAAACAAATTCATCCCATTTATCTCCCTTTGTTTATTAATTAAATAATGGATAAAAAACTATCGAACAACGGAGGCCATATTAATAATTGTTATAAGAAAAAGTAGAGACAATTTTTATTCGGTTGTCTGTCATTAGAAGTATATTACCTGGTGAGAATACAAAAATTACCGAAACGTCGGAATTCTTCGATGCGGCTGATCGTCAGCGAAGATCTTACCACTAAACAGTCACTGTAAAATCCTCAAGTCATAAAATTTCTAATGTTTGTCATATCAATTTGTAAGCTGAATCAGTAAAATCGGAGACAAGATAAATTCAATGTAGTCTATCAATAAAAGGCAATAAGAATGACATGGGCAAACGGACATTTGTACTCTAAACGAAATTAAACCAACGATTCTGCATGCTAGTACTGCTTCACATTCGAAATATTCCAGGTTTATAACACGGATAAAATCGAGCGTCAACAACCTCCAGCACAATTATTTTAACATTTAAATTTAACAATTAACAAATTAACATTTCGGCCTACAATGCCATCATTAGTACAATATAATGTAGCCTGTTTTGCGTAAATAATTTCGTATCTAGAAAAATCCTCGATTACAGCCACACAATCAAATCCGTTAACATTCCATCGATTTAACAGTTCATAATCATATTATCGGTTGAGTTAATACAATCTTTAAATAAAATAAGGAGTAGATATACAAATTAAGAAATTACTGTGGTTCTTAAAATCATTTTAACTTATTAATGAGCGAAATTTCAGGTAATTACAGAATTAAGAATGTGGTTCATAATGTTACCAGATGGTCTGACACCCATGACGCTTGTGCCATTCATCTTTTCCCTCCCACCCCCTCCGCCAACCCACTACAACCCGTCAGTATGCTAATCCCGAGTCACTCGTC